TTGCTCCCCTACTTATCCTTTCCATAATTTCCCCTAGACAGAGTCAACTCGTTGAAGCCTTTATCTCTAAAATTAAGCCGTTCGTACTACTTAAACTTCAGGTGGCTGGTGGAGGCCTCACGAGGCTCAACGTGTCTTAACCCTTGTCAAAATTATAGGTGTTGACGATCAGGCCTCTTGCGCTCCCTTCTCTTCCACTTTAATTAATGAACTCTTCATAAATTTTGAGAGATTGCTCCCTCCAAAGAGACATAAAATAAATTATACAGAAAATCCATTCACCACCTTTTATTAGGGACTTTTTCCAGGGGTGAATGGCCGATTTCAGCCCTAAGAAAAGTAGCATGGGCTCCTATTACTAAATGTTTGACCAATTTTTGCCGCTAAATTACTTCCTTGGGGATTCACTAAAGACACTTTTCTTACTAATAAGGTGCATCTTGGGTTATTTTTTGTGCATTATTATGTCGCTTTGGGCCGAGTCCTTCCTTGCCATCCTCCACCCTCCTGTCCAACACAGATTCTGGCACTTTTCGTCCTCCAATTCTCTCGTGCAAGCGAAAATTTTAGCACAAAATGGGCCATAAAATTTGCTTAGATCATTAGAATAGCGCCACAGTTGCTGCGATTTAAATAAATGATTAGCCTGGTCTAAATTTAGCTCCAATTCCCCTTTTACCCCTTCACTCTCCCTCTCTCCCTCCTTCATGTGACCGGCAGGAAATGTGTGGGTGGACTGCAATGAGGTGGGCTCAAACAAATTTTCTGGAATATATTTTTTACTTAGTAAAATTCAGTAGGTGGTCTTAAAGCAAGTTTTCAACACAGATCAATGGGGCTTGGTGGCGCTTGGTTCAGTTCGTCTTTCCTAAAACCAATAGAGGGTGGACATGCACTTGTCATCTGAATTAGGTGAGCATTAATATTTAGCAGCGTCGACCACTTATTTGTATTACAAAAAATGTGTTAAAACAATGGCACTACCATAGTTAAAATAAGTGCTAGGGCCTGTCTGCAATTCCTTTTTGTTTAAGTAGAACTGCATAAGTGCTCCTCGAAGGCTTGTATCAAGGTCATAGCTATTGAGCAATTTTCGAGACGAATTTGGGATGAGTCAACATCCCATGTTTATAATTGACGCAGTAACGAGCAACTTACCTACTACAATTCTGAGTTGGCGGTATGTTGACATCACTCCAATCACGTAGCAACCGTGACGTTGTTAGGCGGTCTGCGCTAAAATACCCTGACAATTGTTCGCTTCCTTATGTGGAACAGCTCTTACAGTACCACGCATTTAACTCCTGTTTGAGATTCTTCATGGTGGACTGCAGCTGCCAAAAAATATTTTGCTCTTCAGGATGTTAAAGTGCTGCAACCAAAAGCATGCTATTTCATGCTAGTCCATTAACAATGTGAACATAAATTTCCCTTTGCTTTCAGTCCCTTATCCTCCCATAGAGTTAATTACAGTAGCAAATAGGGTCATCTCCAGCACCACCATGGGGATTCCGGCCAAGATCGACCTGTTTAGTTGAATATTTCTAAGGCCCTTTACGCGCTTTTTCCTTCTTCCAACAATCTGAAGTCAAGGCTTTACCCCATAGAGTTGGCCCACTTTTTTCTTCCCATCATATAAGACCAGTTTGTCCATTCTCACGCTCCATTTTGAACTTGTCTGCAGATAAATCTATTCTGTTAGAGTCTTAATTTATTCAGTGATTAATTTCCCTGATTTGGTTATGCTTCCATTTCTTAACACCACAAGTCTTTTTTAGGCATTATCGCTGGGCTTTTCCACTTTTGAAGGGTGGAAACTTTGCGGTCACATGGCCTCGCCTAAGGAACATTAACCTCTGCCGTTACTTTTATAATTTCTGGTCCAACTGTGTCAAAATACGTGGCCAAAGCCGTCATCCGAAGGATGGGCTTCCATCCACCGGACAGACACCACTTTGAAATCATCCTCGCTATTTTTGGGTTACACCGTGTCTCCCTGGCACTAGCAGCATTTTTCTTACCTCCTCTTCATCAGTTTCCCAAATGGATTGAAGCTAAAGTTAAAAATATCCGCAAATGCGCTCACCTTCTCATGGACAGACCACGTAACCCATAGAATGCGCGCTTGTGCGTGCGTATGTGTGCGTGCGTGCGCACGTTTATCCATGCTTAGAATAGCCCTCGATCGATGAGGTGGGGAGGTGCGTGTTGGGACGCGCGTTCATATTCACTTACGTCCATCGATCGCTTCATCGCTGCAGGCAACAGAAATCGTGGCTGAGAGAAACTCACGTCCGCACACATCCACACGCATACGCACGCACCGCCTGGCAGAAGTAGCCGTTGCATTTGGCAAGTCTACTCTGCCCATCGATTTCAGCGCGAGTGCTGATTGGTGGATTGGTGGGAGAAGACAGAGGAGGCGGAGGAGGTGGAGGGTGGAGGGTGGAGAGCGCAGAATGACTGCCTGCCTGCTTGCTCGCCCAGGCTTAGTGTGTTTGTGTTCTCTTCCCTACGTGTTGTCCTCTCTTTCGTGTCGTTGCTCTCCGTCCGCTCGTCCATCCTTCCCTCTCTTCGTTCGTTCCTACGTTCCTTCGTCCGCCCTAGCCGTTGTTCCACTCTTGGTTGTGATCGTCGTGTCGTCGTGAAGTGCACAATGCTTCAAAGTAATGCCAAGAAGTGTGCCAGTGGTAAAGATACTGACTCAGTGAAGACAGAGGAGAGTAAAAGCGAGACTAACGCATCAGTGACAAAAGTGGATAAAGCGCAAGATGGTAGGCAGGTTGAAGTCCCTAATCCACCTCTCCCGCATTGTTTTTTTTGTTTCGCCTCATCTCTTTTTAGAAGAGAGAAAACTTTTCGTTGGGATGCTGAGCAAACAACAGAATGAGGAGGATGTGAGGCGCATTTTCGAACCCTTTGGAACGATTGAGGAGTGCACGATTTTGAGAGATCAAGCAGGCAACAGTAAAGGCGAGTTAAATTTCTCCCCATTTCTGATTGGTCGACCCGTGGCTTTTATTCCTTTCCAGTATTGATACTATAATTACCAAAAACTGATTCAGTTATTATTATTTTTTTAAGAAACCTATTTTGGTTTGCATCAAATAACGGTTTTAAAGGTGAAATTTATCGACGATATTTGGCACATCAATCTTCTTCTAAGTGCGTTCTGATTGGCTACTTGTGAAATAATGAGCGCCCATGTTTTAAACAGAGAGTTTAATCGAAACCACAATCCCTATGAGCGGCTTTCAAGCATTACTCTCCTCAGAGTTCCTGAAGGGCGTACACTGTTAGTGAAGGCTTTCCGGCCTCCAGCCTAGCCAATCAGCTTTCTTTCGACGGCGAGGTGACACGTCCATTCTTCAAGACCCCTGCTTCACGCTCTCTCCCTTCGGCGTTCCTTACAAGGGTAGAGATGCCAGAAGGCTATCTAATCATGCCGAAGTGATTGATAAGAGGTTTTCAGCCTCTTACTTTCCACTGGCGGGTTGGTTTTATGACTTGCCGTAGACCTTAATGTAGAGTGAATGGGTGTGTGCGTGTGAGGTGGGAGGAAGGTGGGTGGGTATTTCAAGCTCTCCCTAAGGCCGTTACAAGTCACACCTATTCAGCGTAGAGGCAGACACGCCCTTTCACGATGGGCGGACACACGAGCGTCAAGAAGGTTACCACGAGGTTTAACACACCAAATTATGCCCAAATTGGTTTGTTTCCAGTCCTAAAGCCAGTCCCCAGTGTGATTATACATATTCACGGAGTCTTTCATTTGACCTCACGCAAATTCCGGTACTAGCAACGAAGAGACATTAATTTTTCACAGGGACAGGTGACCTTAGCTGTTCTAATTCTGATTGGTTAATGGTGGGTGAGGCGGTTGTTGGGGTCAAAAGCAACCTTGTATTTTTATACAGAATGGTATTCTTCAGTTTGGTACAAATAATCTCACTTTTAGAGATTCCTATTTCCTTTTTCCTTATTTTCCTTTCAGAATTTCTCACAAACTGCTACTTTTGCAGTTGTTTTTTAATGACAACCGACGTTCAAAAGTCAAAATGCTGTTCTGTCTAAAAACTAATTTCGTTAAACTCTCGAAGACTAAACTATTTATTTAAACAAAATGAGTTTGCTGAATCACCGCCGAGAGCTGTCAAAGCAAGGGAGGGGGGAAATAGGGAGGTAAGTGTGCCAGTGGCATTGAGAAATAAGAGCAGCTAAACTAGAAA